TTTTTTTTTAGAAACAAATTAGTTTTTGGGATTTCTTTTTATTTTTTTTTTTTTTTTTTTTTTTTTTTTTTTACATGTTTGGCATTACTACAAACAACACAAATGTTACATTTTACAGCTCTTATATCATGTTAACTTTAATGTTTTCAAGTGGTTCAAAGGTTTGACCACAGAATGACTACAACATTCTCAGGTCAACATCCTCTTACCTTACAGTACCTCGGAAAGCTACAGCTTGACAGTTACTTTGTCACACAAACCAACCTAAAAAAAAATGAATGCATTTTCTAACAGACCAATGCAAAAATAATGCATAGCTGTGAAGTAGAGGGTAAATGAAACGTGGTTTTTGACATTTGTTTTGAAAAAATAAATGACTCCAAAATAAATTCCACTGCAAACATGTTCTTTCAGAAGTCACCTTATTATTACGTAGACTTCTCTTGTCATTCTCAATATGGATACAAATGCTCAGTGAAGGTTAACAAAGGCATGTTAGAGAACAGTAATGAACAAACAGAATCATGAAGACCATGATTCTGTTTGTTCAAACAGATCAGGAATAAAATGGTGTCACAGTTTAAAGCAGAATCAGCTTGAATAAAGTTTGACACAAAGTTTGTCCAGCCCAAGAATTTAAACCAATGCACTCTGCGTTGTTTTATATAAAACTTAAGAGAACTTCCCCGTCACTTAAAAATGCTTTAACTGCACAGTTCACAGCTTACATATACATTGTTGTTTAGCAGCTTCTCTTGGGCTGACATGTCCATTTCCTAATCTATTACCTAATAACATTTTTTTAGACGTTTAAATTGCACTGGCACTAACAGCTCCCACGATGCGATGGATCTGTCTCACTTTAGGGAATAAGGTGAGTCACTCACTCTTTGGAACAATAAGCAGCAGTGTGGAAAGATGGCTTACAAATATAGCCTTTCATTAGAGGATATTAACAACAGACATTCATTTTACCAGGGAGACCAGGTTACCGTGGGCGCCTCCTCATAACCCTTCATTGTTTCCATTAAGGTAATGGGATTGCTGCCCATGCATGTGTAGAGCACAAAGACTCATAATTATGCACACTGGTGGGTACGAGACAGGATGGACACTCTATTTTTAACACAGAAATCATGTGAGTTTCAGTAGAGCTGGAGAGTTAGAGGTTGTTCCACGTCTCGGAAGACTTACCTGCTGTGAAAAGGAGGAAGCATTTATTCTTAGACACTAACCTACAAAACCTGAATGTACATCACGGAAAACTCTCTGGCTGCCCACGCTGTAAGACAAATAATTAATGCTAAATTCAAACAAAGTTCTTGCAAAGATTGACAATCCGAATTAGCTGAAGACATACAAAGACTGATCTTCCAATATCTCTCACCTCTGGTGAACTTTTTTTTTTTTTTTTTTTTTTTTTTTTTTTTGCCACAATCTGCATGTGAAGCGATTGCGATTGGTCAGAACTTTGTGGGTGTGTCTGTATATGTGGAAAAGCGGGGTATTATCTGGTTGCGCAGAGAGAGGCAATGGAGCGAAGCTATCCAGAGGTAGCAGCTGATCTCTGGTGTAAACAACAGGAGCTTGGCCATTGTGTCCAAACAAAACGGCATAAAAAAAAAAAGAAAAAAATAACATAGCAGTCCAGAAGAAATGCTGCTCCCTTGTGAACAAAAGAGTAGGGAGCACAGAACAA